CCCGGCTGCGGCAGCCGCGGGGCGCCGTGCCGCTGCCTTTTACCTCCTTGCTCACACCTTGCTGGCCCTGGAAAACTTCCTCTCGGGCTCCTCGCTTTTCTTTACCTCCGTGTAGGGTCTCCGACGGGTAACCCGTCGTTCCTAGAATAGAGTTTTAAGTGGAAGACAGTTGCTTTCTCTTGAGTCAGCACGCCATGCCCGCCGGTCATTACCACGTCGGACAGAAGGTGACTCCCCGTGCCCAAGGCACTTGCATTCATGGTCGCGATGTATGGCGGCCCCGATGTGTGCCAGGCAGCATGCAAGGCACGTTTAAATGCATTAGGTGCAGTCACTACCGACGAATACATGTTACATACGTGGCCTCACCCCCGCGAGGTCGGAATGATTCATTTCGTAGATAAGATTTTATAAGCGGCAGCGAGGTGGAGCATCTTCCCTCAGGGCAGGTTTCTCCCTCCTGTGGGCTTCTTCCTCCTAGGGCTCCACCCAACCGAGGGTCTTGTGTTGAGCTTTCCAAGATAAATACTTTCTCCCCCCCCCCTTTTTTAAATAAGAAAGTAGACCAAAACTTTATCCTTTTGATATTCATTTACCTACCTATGAGACTTTTGGTTCTGCTCTGATAGGTATATCCCATACAAAGCCTATAAAACCATTCCTGGAAGCTTTTAACATCAGCTATTTTAATCTTTTCTTCCTCCTTCACAGTCACTTGGCTGTCCCTTTGTAATCTCTCACTGTCACAGATCTGAGTCCGCCCTCTGCCTTTTCCTCCCCTTCCCCCACCCCCAATATTGGAGACTGTTTACCTAGGGGAGTATAATCTAATCCACACAATTAAAGAGCACTTGGGTAGGGAATAAAATCTGAAATTAATTAATTTGCTGTTTTATTTAAACAATTTATCTTAACCACTTTCTGATTATGGAAGTCTATTTAGACATCTATTTAGAACCGCCTCCATTGTCTCAAAATCAGTGAAAATTTTAAAGGCCTATAGCAGCTTTTGACATTTCCAGTTAGGCTGGTGACATGGCATGTAAACAGTTGGTGAAATGAATTCCCCGTTGGGGCTAAAGCCAGAGCAAGAAACGTGAGAGTGATGATAACTTTGGTTACTCTGAACAACCTAACAGCAGATCTTACAAAGACAATTTAAAGACCCCACTGGGATGTATGTGATTGTAACAACAGGGAAAATATACAGTGACCAGTTGAACTAAAAAGTACCTTACACCCTAGAGGTGAGAGCTGTTTTTGTTTGTGGTTCTTTAGAGAGTTGGGAACTCAAAACCTTCCAACCTGCCACAATAATTGCAATAATAACTGAAGACAGACGATGCTTTACAGTTTAACAAGCATTTGTCTCCTATGATGTTTCTGTACCATTTCTCCCTAGATTTCCCTCCCTTAAATATCTCGGGGCTGTGATTCTTAATTTTAGGAAGCTGTCAAAATTACTATAATATGATGCAGAGCAACCCAATGTTTTCTAAATCCCTTTCCTATATTTTCGAAACAGGGCGAAGTCTAAAAATGGAGGAAGATCTTTAAGAGAAAAGCTGGACAAAATAGGATTAAATCTGCCAGCAGGGAGACGCAAAGCTGCCAATGTCACCCTGCTCACATCACTAGTGGAGGGTAAGCGAATCTACTTGCTAACAAGAGGGAAGTTCATCCTGGGGAAATGGGTAGTACTTAGTGGCCAGATGTTTGATTGTATTTTGTGTCAATTGGGCAGTTTCATTTTTTTCCAGAGAACGAAGCAGGAAGTGAATGAAATTCTTGCATGTCAAAAAACTATTTGCATTTATTCCTATCCTCCTTTCCTCTTCCCCTCTGCCACAAAATTACACCTCCCTAGCCCAATTCTGACCTAAACAATGTGAAAATTTAAGAACTGCATATTCTCCAAGTTCCTGTCTCCCTTATAGAGCTCAGCAGTAAATCACTTAAGGTATTCTGACATCTGCATTTGAGAAATGCGTGACCATTACTTCCTGAATTAATTTGGGAATCTTTGACCTGCATCCTGATTTAAGACCATCCTGAAAGCTCAGGGTTATATACCCTTTCAGTTTTTGTTTTCCAAACATATGCTCCCTTATCTCTCCTTTAATTGTGCTTCTTTACTTGGAGGGGAAGAAAAGTGAGTGATTTTAGACTTTGAATTGTTTGGATATAAAAAGAAAAAAGAAAGATGAGCATTGCAAAAAGTTTCTCCTGGCAGTTTTAAACACACATGCACGCATGCACGCAAACACACACACAACACACACATGCATGCTTCCAAACCCCTCAAAAACAAAAGCCAACCCTGTCCTCACTCCCTGCTCTAGATGCACCGTCACCAGGATCTTCTCAGATTCCTGCTTCCTCTAGATTCCTGTTAAGTTTTTCTGATACTAAATTGGCTTAAGTTGAGTGTGTTGGAATAAATATATAGCTCTCTTGCATTTTCCTTTGTGTTCTGCTGGAAATGCCTTATGGCGATAGGGAAAAAGGCACTTAAATTATCAGGCAGATTTCAAAACTGCCATTTATATTTACAGAAGGCCTTTTATCTTATTTACATTTTCTATTTGAGGAGGTGTAATACAGTTGCATTCAACTTCTAGCTTTGTAAATAACTAAAAATGCTTAAAACGGTAAATTTGAGGAGGAACCTTATGAACCATTTGATAATGGTGTCATAGATGACAATAATATAACTGTTAAATAATAAGCATTTGTTCAGTGCCAGAAACTATCTACAGCAGCATTATATTCATTATATTAAAAATAATACCAATACATAGAAAATGCTCTATCCATACTCCAAAAGACCTATATGCAAAAAAAAAAAAAAAAAAAGTAGTTATGAGTTTGGGTGTAGTGTGAGAGTATGTGTGGGTTTTGGGGTTGAGTCCTGTAGCAGGGAGGCAGTTTCTGGAGAACTGTTATTGTTTGTGATCCGCTCCATTTTATGGAAACAAGCTCTGCGGAGAGGGCTTTGATGCTCTAATTGGCGCATGCGTTCTTCCGGAGCTGGAGCTAATGGCAGGAAGCCCTGCAGTAAAAACCAACTGGTTCAGGAAATTAAAACCAAAGATTCGAAAATCAACAACACAGACAGACTCAGTGGAGTGACCCTCAAATCCTCTTGGTTAATCGGTTTGGATGAACAGATAATTATATGCGATCAAGTTAAAATGTAAACCCTTAGTTGTTACCTTGCAGAAAAGCTCAAGGAGTAATTATGCATACCATTTATGAATGCGTTGATAGGTGTGAGGTTGGAATACAAGAAACATTTTAAAAGAGAAGTTGGGAAAATGTTATCAGGGTGGGGATGAGAATGGGGGTAGTGGATGAGATTTACATTTTCAAATCATCTTGGCCTTCTAGGGTAAGTGGCCATTTTTCCTGATAACTACATCCACCAGAATCTACCGAGAAGGAAATAAAATGCCTGAAATGAGAAAACAAGTATTTTGTGTTTCCTTCAACATCTGGTTTAAGAAAATAAGGGAGTTGGGAGGAAGTTTTGATCCCAACTCTACATTCTCTTGCACTCGCCTCCCTCCTCTCACCTCTTGCCAGGAGAAGCCGTCCACCTAGCCAGGGACTTTGGGTACGTGTGTGAAACCGAATTTCCTGCCAAAGCAGTAGCTGAATTTCTCAACCGACAACATTCCGATCCCAATGAGCAAGTGACAAGAAAAAACATGCTCCTGGCTACAAAGTAAGGCGCTTACCTCTTCAGGGTTTCATTGTGAAGAGAAACAAAAATCAAATTTGCTCTCACTTTTCTCTTTTCCTTTTGTGTTAGTCAGCTTTGTTGTTGTAAATATTGATAAACACAATCTGATAAATCATAATCTATTTTAAAGGGGAGATACAAGTAGAATTGTTCTGTGTATTTCCATCTTTTCTGCCTCACCTTCCCATCACAAACAATTAATGTGTGTGGGGGTGGGGTGGGGGATTGTAGGGATTCGATAGAAGTTGAGCGTGGGTTTGTGACTATGTTGTTTCAGAACGACCAGAATCAAGTCATCAAAGGAGTAAATAGGCTTGTCTATATCGGTTTCTTTTTCTTGCCCAAGTCAGTTTTTGTCTTCTATCAATGTAAACCCTTAGTTGTTAATCCAAAGGCAAGGATTAAGTAGTGGCCTGCAAAATGTGCAAACCAGAAGTTGTCCTAGTTTCAACCCTAATCCCTATCCCATTTCTTGCTTCCTTTCTCCTGGAAAGTGACACACACACCACAAGTTTTAGCCTACAGGCAAGATATCAAGTAGGTTTCAAAATGGCCCCAAGTTATATTCCCATGGGTGCTTGGGTTGAATAGGCTTCTCCAGGTGGTATGTGAAAAGAAAATGACTGTCTTGATATGTTTTCTGGACATTAAAAGGCTTGTTTGGAAGCCTTTAATTATCAAAGTCCATGTCACAGGAAGGCATGGAACCGTAGGGCAGAGGCTGCGGCCTCAGGCAGCACAGTGTTTGGCCTGCGGACATCATCAGTCTTGGGGAAGGCGGCCTGCTAGTGCTCCCCCTTCTCCCTTCTCCCTACCCCCACCCTACCTCCATCCCCAAGGCCCAGCTCATCCTTGTTTCCCACATTCAGGGACAGGGCTTCCAGTGCGCAGGCCTCATCTTCCTGTATATCAACTTTTTCTCTTTCCTTAGGTTCGAAGCATGCCCATGTTCACAATTTCCCTAGAGAGTTTTATTTTATTTTGATGTATGGGGAAAGACATGGAATGGGAAACTGAAATGACCCTTTCTTCTTCTCCAAACCACTCTGAATATCCCCAAGTAATGGGGTTTTCATGCCTTTTTTTTTTTTAAGGCAGAATAATCCCAAGAAAAGTTTTGCCTTTCTGTTCACATGCAACTGATTAGAAGGTGAATGAGTGGAGACTTCATCCCACAGACTGCTGCTGAGGTCTCTCTAGAAGATCAGAGAGGAGGGTCTCTATAATATTTTCAACAGGACAGCTGATGGCCGCATGCTGCTGGCTATTGAAGAGACTTGTGTTTGACTCCTTGTCCCTCTTACTGTCCTTTGTTCTCTTCTCATGTGTGAAATGTTTTCCAGTGACTAGGATGTTTGGTGTGAGCAAGAGAGGAGGGGGTTAGAAGTTTGGTATAGCTGAGAGGCGGCTGGGGGAGGAGGGGGAGAGAGACAGAGGCAGAGACTGAACACATTAGTGAAATATTTAAAGAAGGAGCAGCGCTGTGTTAGTGGACACTGCTGGGTCTTCCAGCACGTGGCCCCTGCAGGTCTGTCTCTAGGGCTGGGGTCTTGGGTCAGGTCAGTGTCTGCTGGATCCCGGCGGAGCTAAGTGTAGGGAGAAAGTTTATCTTTGCTGCTGGTGCTGCCCCAGAGGAGTTTCATGTCTCCCTCTCTCTCTGCTTCACTTGTGCTGCAGACAGATCTGCAAAGAGTTCACCGACCTGCTGGCTCAGGACCGATCTCCTCTGGGGAACTCGCGGCCCAACCCCATCCTGGAGCCCGGCATCCAGAGCTGCTTGACCCACTTCAACCTCATCTCCCACGGCTTCGGCAGCCCGGCGGTGTGCGCCGCGGTCACGGCCCTGCAGAACTATCTCACCGAGGCCCTCAAGGCCATGGACAAAATGTACCTCAGCAACAACCCCAACAGCCACACGGACAACAGCGCCAAAAGCAGTGACAAAGAGGAGAAACACAGAAAGTGAGGCTCTCCTCCCGCCCAGCCCCTCCCATGCCTCGC